TCATATAGGACGTTTATCTAATTAGCCAATAAAAATTCAAGGATCGACAACCAATCAGATGGATATTTAATCATGCTTCAATGAATGGCTGATAAGCGAGCTCTTTTTTTTTTTATTTTGATTGTTTCGTACGCCCAAAACGCAAACTTAAAAGTTAGCGAGATCTTATTAATAAAGCAACTGAAGAAGAAAATGTCGTGTAGAACAGTATTGGCCGGAGAACTTTCGGCCGGTTATAGGTAAATTGATTTTCCTCAAATTTTCCTTCTTCCTCGGGTTCAACATTAATCTCGTAGCGGCAATGCCAACACCTTTCTCATGAAAAGTTAAAGGCAAGCATTGTGCAAAAAAAAAAAAAAAATAAAACAATAAAAAATGATATAGGTGGATCAAACGACCTTTCCCTTCTTTTTTACTTCAACGTTTGGTGTTAAAACCTTTTAGAGAAGAAATAAAAAATACAATAAATACACGCGGAATTCATCCAAAGCTTATTGGATTTCTTGCTAATCAAGATCCTGCGGCTTTCAAATACGCGGAAGCTACGGCAAAGACTTGTGCCGAAACAGGAGTGAAATTTGAATTGAGGAAATGTAATAGAGAGGACTTGGAAGATGAAATCGTAAAAGCTAATGAAGATGAAAATATAAATGGAATAATGGTTTATTATCCAGTTTTTGGAGATCGTCAAGTATGGTTATGGTTTTTTTTTAATTCAAGATAAAATTGTCTTTAAAAAAACATTTAGAAACTTATTATTTAATTTATAGGATCAATATCTTCAGAATGTTGTTTCTTCAACTAAAGACGTCGAAGGGTTATGCCACAAATATATATATAACATGTATCACAACGTTCGATTTCTTGACAAGGAACAAACCAAAAAATGTATCATCCCTTGCACGCCTTTAGCTATAATCAAGGTAAGAGTATAAAACAATATATAACTATCTTTTAATAATATTAGGCATTAATAATTTTATTGATAACGTAGGTATTGGAATATGTTGGTGTATACAATCCAATTATCGCATATGGAAATCGTTTGCATGGTCGTGTGATTACCGTAGTAAATAGAAGTGAAATCGTTGGACGTCCTCTTGCTGCTTTATTGGCCAATGACGGTGGAAAAGTTTATTCTAT